TCTCCGAAGCACCAAATTTTATCCTAATACTTGCCACACTTGATGCTCATCAAAGGTATTTACTAAATAGCTGAGAAGTCCATTCCATGAGACTTTTTATTAATATAGAGATTCAAAACAAGTACATAGCACCATCATTCCTGTAATTAGGAGGTACAGATTAATACATTAATACATTGTGAGAATGAGGAGACAGTGGCATGTTAGAGCAGACATGAATTTCAGAAGTTTCAAAGAACACTCTGGAGCGCAAAGAAGAAAGGGCTGGAAATCCAGATAGGAACAACACACACAGAGGAGATGGAAGTAGGAAGAGCTGCTGGGAACTCCAGCACTCACAGTCAAAGGCGCACTCGATTTTGGTTAAGGAAGACTGAACAGTAATCCAGGAAGGAGAAGCCACGTCACAGACAGTTTCAGGCCAGTCAAAGAGAGGCAGAGCCAAACAACATAAGAAGGGATCACTGGATGTTAGCATTAGGGGGGTAGGGGGGAGTGTTGGATTGTAGTGCGGAAGTAGGTCTGTGAGGGCAGAACCTGGTCTTTAAAGACCATCAGAGCCTGATATAAAGTGATAACAGGGCTTTTTTTTTTTTTTTTCCCCGAGACAGGGTTTCTCTGTGTAGCTTTACGCCTTTCCTGGAACTCACTTTGTAGCCCAGGCTGGCCTCGAACTCACAGAGATCCGCCTGTCTCTGCCTCCCAAGTGCTGGAATTAAAGGCGTGTGCCACCACCTCCCGGCAACAGGACTTTTGTTAAGGAAGCTGCCATTGTTAATGGGGTGCAAGATTGCCTTTAAAATTCTTTGAACTGATCCTTCTAATTCTCCCTCCTCTTCCTCTTCCTCCTCTTCTTCTTCCTCCTCCTCCACCAATGTATCCTCCTTCACGAAACACAGGGTCTTGTGTATCCAGGCTGGTTTCACTTGCTATGTAGCTGGAGATCACCTTGAACTTCTAATCTTCCTCCTTCTACCTTTTTTAAATTCTTTTTGAGAACATTTTTATTCTTTTTGACAACAATTTCTCCCTTGCCTTGCCTTGCCTTTCCACCCTCCAAACCCTTCCATATATACCTTACTGTTCTCCTTCAAATTCATGGACTCTTTTTATACTAATTGGTATTACATGCATATATATATATATGTGTGTGTGTGTGTGTGTATATATACCTTACTGTTCTCCTTCAAATTCATGGACTCTTTTTATACTAATTGGTATTACATGCATATATATATATATGTGTGTGTGTGTGTGTGTGTGTGTGTGTGTGTGTGTGAATATACATATATATTCCTGAATATAACCTGTTTGGCCTGTACAATGTTACTTGTATATGTGCTTTCTGTGCTGATCATTTGGCACTAGATAACCGATTGGTGTGCTCTTCTTAGGGTAAGAACACTTCTGATCTCAGCTTTTCTCAGTTACGTGCAGTTTTTTGTGTGGTGTTGAGATCTCCAAGGCTCTTCTCCATCCACTTTGGCCTGTCCATTGGTGTCATATCTGCGCAGTTCATATTTGGACAGTTATCTTGGTGAGACTTAATGAGTATAGCTCCTGATGTTACTAGGAGACACAATTCCCTGATTCTTAACATTTTTCTGTGATGTTCATTGAGCCTTAGGCCTGGGAGTGTTTTTTTTAGATGCATCAGGACTGTGCTCCACAACTCTGCATTTTGATTGGTTGTGGTTCTCTGTAATGGTCTCTGTCTGCTGCAAAGAGTATGCTAATGCAGATATATATTTTACCTTTAAAAGTTTGCGTGTTTTCAGAAAAAAAGGATGAGACACTAATAAAGACAAGTAGTCCCAGATGATCCAGCCCCTCAGAATGCCTCTGTTACAGTTTCCTCAAAATTCTGTATCCAGAAAATCTTCAAAGCTACTGGTTGAGATGGCCCAGCTTCACAGACTACTCCAGCCAGAACTTCAGATAAGTTCTACACTTTCCAGTCACATAGAAACTAAACAAAAAAATAATATAGCTAGCACTCCCAGGACTTGACCATTATCCCAACCTCCTCAGGGTTCCCTAAAGATACCGTCACTCCAAGATAAGAGGAAGCAGTCTAGCAAACATAATGCCCACATTCCCAAGAGGTAGGGTGGGTGATTTTTGGTCTTTTGGTAGGTCATGAATGTTTGTCATCATTTAGGGTAGTTGGTTGAAAGTTGTTACTGGTAATAGTCAGGGAGAAAACTAAGCAAAGGAGATTAGATTCAATGATCTCATTCTGAAAAGAAAAAAGGGAGATATAAAAACAATAAGACAAAAGGGTAGATTATTGAATCTACTTTCAAACTAAAAAAGCAACTACTAGTCTCAAATATTTTACATTGGCATGGATTTAGTTATACTGAAACAAATTTAAGGTTGTTTTTGTTAAATAGAATATATCTTTCCATTCTTGTTTAAGGTAGTGTACCTATGTGACTCATTTTAAAATGTAATGTATAATTAAGAAATACAAGTTAGTAGTTAGTCATCTATAGTGATCAAACTTGTAGTCATGTAAGGTATGTTTCCAAGGTTAAACAGCAATATATTTTTAGATAGAGAGGTGGCCTTCAAACATTTCAGAGACTTACAGAATATGGCATTTAAGATGTTTTAATGACCTAAGGCTTTTTATGACAGTGAGGCATGTCTACTCTTGGCAGCACCAATTTACTTCAAAAAACTATGATGGGCTTCAAAGAACCTCTATATAGTGTTTACTTTTATTATGACAAAGTTAGCCACTGGGCAAGAAACTGTCCTTACTTTGAGTACTGACAGTATGCTGTCCAAATTGGGCAAGTAGGACACAAAAAAGGAGGCTGCCATCCTTTGCCAAGACAAGGTAGGACAATCCTTCAAAAATTCCTGCTTCAAAGAAAAGTCTGTCAGATATTATAGACCTGTAGCCCAAAGATGAGTACCCCAATGTTATAGAGGAACCTTGGGTGACTGTCCAGGCAGCCAGCTGTCTTTGTCATTTCTATAGGTTTAGAAGTTGTTTTATCTGTACTTCCTGTTTACTCAGGTAATATTATGTCCTTCTCGGGTCTTTGATGGGGTTGAAGACTAGATAGGTATAATTATAGTTTCCCTTATTACAAAAAAAAAAAAACAAAAAAATAAAAAAACAAAAAACTTCACAGAAGATTTGTAAAGTGTACAAGGTTGAGAAACATAAAAGCTTAAGTTGTTTATCTAAGAACATGTTTTAAGGTCTTAAAAAGATATTTTTAGAATGATAATATGTTATGATAAGAAGTGGTTTAGGTATAAAACTTTATATTCATCAAGATAGTGCTGTGGGATGTTCTGTATGTTATATGTGTTGCTCTGATTAGTTAATAAATAAAACACTGATTGGCCAGTAGCCAGGCAGGAAGTATAGGCAGGACAAGGAGAGAGGAGAGTTCTGGCAACAGGAAGGCTGAGTCAAGAGAGACACTGCCAGCCGCCGCCATGAAAAGCGAGATGTAAGGTACCGGTAAACCATGAGCCATGTGGCAACTTATAGACTAATAGAAATGGGTTAATATAAGATATAATAACTAGATAACAAGAAGCCTGCTGTGGCCATACAGTTTGTAAGCAATATAAGTCTCCTTGTGTTTACTTGGTTGGGTCTGAGTGGCTGTGGGACTGGCAGGTGAGAGAGATTTGTCCTGACCGTGGGCCAGGCAGTACCAAAAAATCTCCAGCTACAAGATAGGATAGATAATAGAGTATTTTCTCCAAATATGCCAAATATAAGTGGACTGGACATTGTAAATGTAATTCTCACTTGATCATTGTTCTTACTATATAGAGTTTTATTGTGTTAAAGTTAAAAACCTCTCTTTTTTATATTGGTGAAAAGGGGGAAAAGTTGCAGGATAGTTGTTTACACTGTGTGAAGATGTGTCTCTGTCTAAGGCACCTTCTGCTTGGTAAAATAAAGTTAAATGGTCAATAGCTAGGCAGGAGAGAATAGGCAGGACTTCCAGGGAGAGAGAGGCTCTAGGAATAAGAGAGGTGGGCAGACAGAGGAAGCAGGTTAGGCAGTACAGAGATGAGATAATAAGCCACATGGAAGAGTGTAGATTAAAAATAAGAGTTAATTTAAGTTATAAAACCTAGATAGGAACAAGCCTAAGCTAAGGCTGAGTTCATAATTAATAATCAGTCTAAGTGTCATTATTTGTGAGCTGACAGTCACCAAAGAAAAACCCAGCTACAGGTTGGTTTCTGTCGGCTGCAAAGAGAACTTGCTTTGAGGAGGCATGGAGACTGTGGTGTCTGATCTGCCTATTGAGTACTGCAGGCATGAACAACTGTATTCAGTTTGTGAAGTTCTGGGGACTGAACCCAGAGGTCTGTGCATGCCAGACAGATGCTCTACTGAAGAAGCTGCATTCACAGCCTTCAAATGGTTGAGTGTCCCTTATGTGTCAAGTATTCTTCCCATTGTTCTGTCTAGCAGGGAACAGTAAGACATGGTTTATGCTGCTCTGGCACTATATTTCTATAGAAGAGATAAATAATAAGCATGCAACTAAGTACACAGGGAATGCAACTTTCTCTGCTGATAGGATCTGTAAAAGATAAAGCAAATGAGTTAAGTTCAGGAGTAACCAGAGATATGACAGGAAGTACTGAACTAAAATTAACACTTTCCAACTAGATGTTAAATGCAATATATATCTTCAATTTTGCTTTTATCATGAGACCAGAGACTGCAGAAAGTATCACAAAGAATTCAGAAGACTTACTGTGTGATTTTTGTTTGCTCAATTCTTTTCTGTCTTCTGATGCTGAGGTCTGTGCTTCTCCATTGTCATTGAATTATGATATTGGAACTCTTTACCTTGTTAGGGATCCGGTCACAAATTTGATACTTCCTTTGTGTTCTAATTCAGAGGTATTATGAAAATGTAAACCCTGAAGGCTTGTGATCTGCTGAAACAACTGCCACACAAGTATTTGAATATAAATATCATTTTGAATGATTAAAACCTCAGGACAAGGAAAACTCAATTTTAATATTACTAACAAATCATAAGCTAAAGCATAATGTGATGGAAAAATAAAAACAGCACAATAGAGGAAACTCTTCTAAACTGGGTTTGTTAACAATTGCTTCTATGATGTTCTTCTTGCACAAATCCTGTCACACTGACTCTAGAATCCTAGCAGGCTTTCATGTTCTCCTAAAGGATGCCTGTGTGGAGGTTATAGCCACTTAAAATGCACTGTGACCAGGGTGACTGTGTCCAGGCAAGGACCTTAGTGTTGTTCCAGTTTAATACCTGTGGGGTGCTGGTTCTGGGAAATTATTTTGCTATTTAGAGACATTTGTTTCTGTGAAAAACCTGGATGATAAACATTCACAGAAAGAAAATCTCATTGCTTGGCTTTTGTGTCTAAAAGAGAACAAATCACATTGAAATATTTCATTTCTTATAGCCTCATGCTTCAAAGTTCCTCCATAAATAGATGGCTTGAAACTGCCATCTGCAACACAGACACAATACTCTTTCTGGAGAAGGATGAGGTGGCATGTGGCTTTGCCCCGGATAAGGAACGAAGAGGACAAATTGAGACTGTGCTGCACCACACCCCCATCCTTACAATGAAATCTTCCAAAAGAACATACTCTCACATGCCAGTACCAATAGAATAAGGTCATTGCACATTTAAACAAATTACAGCACTCTCTTGCTGTGCAGTAGGCAGGCAAGCCCGGAGGAAGCAAGCTGGAACTGAGTTATCACCACATGCACAGGCTCGGTGGGAGAACTGTGTTCTCTTCTTTGTTGGGGAACTCTGCTCTTCCACTGCCATCTTTCTTGACAAGATTCAGAGTGATGGTGGCCTGCGGCTCCATCAATTGAGCAAGGCAGAGTCAATTGGCAGCTTCTTTGATGCTTGCCTCCCTGCCTGATTCTTTCTGGAAAAGAAAAGGAGTGAACATCAAGGAGTGTCTCATTCTCTGACTTCAAGGGTCAAGTGCATCTTTTCTCTGGACCTGTTGGCTGTTTTGGTTATGATTCCCTGATTGCCTGAGTCTATAGTGATAGAATTTTATAAAAATAGAAACACAGAGCATCACCACAAGCACTCACCCACATAACCATAGTTTGACAGTCTGAAGTATCCAACAGACATTTGCCTTTGTCGGAAGGTTTTTAAGTGCGATCATGACAGATGTTCAGAGAGATTATCTTTCCATCTCTACCCTGCTTCCTCGCGGCTAGTGCACGTATGCCTTGCTTGAAAATAGCCTCTCTTTTATAAATAGATGAAGCTGGAGGCCTTCAGCAGTATGAAGTCAACAGTCTACTCATCAAGCATGTGTTCCTCTGACAGATAGATGCTCCTTTGTTTCAGGCCGGCAGCAAATAAGTGCTGTTTGGCTTTTTATGCCACAAGCTACCTGATGCTAACCAGAGGCACCTTCATAGCTACTCTATATCACAGGAAAACTTCAAGAACTTGTCCCTGTAACAGTGGCATACTGGATAGTAAAGATTTTTTTGATGCGTATTTACTTTGTCGCTAATCTCCCTCCAGGGGTTTCAAAGTGAACAGGCATAATAAAAAGCTTCTTGCTGTTTCTCTTCAAATTTAAGGATTGACTGCACCACATGCCTTCTCTGGTCTTATTTGGTTATCTTTAAGCAAAGGCTTTTCTCCCCAAAGTTCTCAACTCCCAGTGGTAGTTGAAGAGTGTTCTATTTGACACACATTTCTCAGTCAATTTATGACACCTTATGTGACCATCTAATGTCACATGCCGTGATCTGAGATTGGAAAATGGGAAAGTACTAGGGGATGAAGACGTCATTGGAAACTTCGGGCTAGGACATAATGCCTTGGTTGTGTTTGTATTTTTATTGTTTCTTATTTCTTTAACAGTTTTGTAGCATTTTCTCATTATTTGATTGTTCTAAGTAAAAGAAATGGTGTACTTAGGATGTTGTTGGAAATGTGTGTGTGTGTGTGTGTGTGTGTGTGTGTGTGTGTGTGTGTGTGTGTGTGTACACGTGTTAATTTTCCCCCTAGGAAACAAATTTAGGTTATAGGAAAATAGCAGGCCAGGCAAGAATTAATGCTCTCATAATTCCAGTGTGGTCCTTTGGGCACTAGAAAGTGGAGTGTGAGCATCTTCTGCCTCTATAGGCAGCTCTTGAAATATAGAGCTGAACAGAGTAGCCATGTAAGGAAGAAGCCTCATCAGTAAGCAGAGGCCCTCTCCCAAGAGTTCATTCAAGCACTACACTGCCCAAGTTCCTGATCTGTACTCAAGGTCAGGAATCCTTAGTGTGGACATGAAGACACCATCCAGGTGGGCTTTTTCTACCTGGGTAGTGAGTGACCTTAAGTCCTACAAAGTCACAAAATGAATTAGTAACAGGAAACTAGACAGAAGTCTGTCTTCCTTTGGATACTTCCGAATAGGATTCTCAGATTGTCTCCCAGCTGTAGTGAAGACTTCAGCACCACCTGCCCTCACATGAACTGGTAAGTCAATGGCTGAAACAGTAGGTCAATACACGTGCATTTTGACTAATTATTTCCTTCTTTTTATTTTCATTCTTCTTATAAGTCAGCATGGCTCAAATTCTACGACAAGTCATCCATTTGAATTGGCTCCCAAGCACATGAACCAAGCGCCCGGATTCTGGGAAGCCATCACATAGCAGGGCCTGTGGGGGACATAGAAAAATTAGAGTTGTATAATTAATTTTTGTAAATGCAAAACTTATGGGAAACAATGAAGTGATAATAAGATGACATTTATCATGATGCTAGATTTAGGGAAGCCTGGGAAGGCTTCAGAGGGATTTTTAGCTCTATGCTTACATTTTAATACAGAAATGAAATAGCGTGTTACAGACAGTGGGCCCAGTGTGGCTCTGCGGCCTTAGCGCCTTTAAAAGTTTCATTTTATTCCATTTCTCAGCTTCAAAACTGATTAGTGTGTGCTTAGTTTTTAAGATTATCAGACCAGTCAATCTGTAGGATTGCTTCAGTCCCACAAGATTAACATTTGGATTAAATTAAATTAAGAATAAATTATGACATTCAAAGATTTTCAATGAACTAGAAATCTTTATGGCTCCTTAAGCTCCTCATAATTTCCTAATTATCTTCATTTGGCTGTGGCAATTCTTTGTTTTTGGTGTATGTGTGTGTGTGTGTGTGTGTGTGTGTGTGTGTGTGTGTGTGCATCATATGCACATATGTGCATGCACACACAGCTCTACATTCAGCTTTTCTACGAGTGCTGGAGACTGAGACTCGGGTCCTCATGTTTGGGCTGCAGCACTCTTACCCACTGAGCAATCCCACCAGCCCCTGGTGATGCATCTGCATGAGTGGGGATCCAATGAAGACAGTTGCCTCAGTCTACACATTGACTAGTTTCATTTGACATCCTGACCATTGTTTGAGTGTCAAATGTCTTGCCAATATGTAATTATGATGGACAATTAGGATGACAGGATACAAACAGCCCGATGAAAATGAATGATCACTGTAACAGATGGTTTCCAGAAAGAAAATAAAACATAATGCAGAAGGAGGAAATACTATTTCTCTTATGGAAGAAGAGCAAAGCACAAAGAATTCCAAAATTTACTTTGTATTTTTCTTAGCAAACACCCTTGTTGCAAAGAGTCTGACATTCCATTGAGTCTATTTGCTTTTGAAAAATGGAGTAAATTTCCATGGTCCTAAGCCATTGGGAGTATCCCAGGAAGACATGACTAATATAGAATGGAAGTGGTAGCCAGTCCTCTTTACCTAAATTGATCAATTTAGTGAAGCACTCCTCATGCAAACCTATTTAAGAACATCCATTTATTAGATATAGTAATAAGATTGGAAATTTGACTTTTTCTCCCTTCCTTTGACTAATGCCTCAGACTTCCTTCTCCTTCTCCTGTGGCTGTCAATGAGTCCTAGCTCCTAGGCAGCTGGTATGCCTGCCCTTATGGGATCCTTTCCCCTTGAACATGGATTGTGCCTATGAGTTGCTCATAAATAATTGACTACAGAGAAGATGATGAGATGTCACAGAAGATCATAACTTCTCTTTCCATTGTAGATTTTCTGGATTTAATGGGACTAACTTCCACAGTATACATTGTCACATGGTGGGAGGATCATGTGCCCAAACCATAGGCAGAAACAAACTAAAACCCAACTAAGCATGGAGGCCCTGAATCCAATAATTCATGGGAACTGGGTTTTTCCAATATTGTAGGTTTAGAAGAGGATTCTTCCCCAGTTGATCCTGGAGATGAGACATTAGATGTAGCTAAGACTCTGAAGCAGAGAAACCAAGTAAGCCACATCTGGACTGGTCCTCAGAGAGGACACAAATCTGGGTGGTTTTAAGCAAGTCCGGGTTCTTTTGCTACAGTAATGGATAAATCATACATGTCTTGTTAGCAGAGGTGAGAGAATTGGTATCTGCTCTTTTGAGCTATTCCCATGCTTCACTGGTCTCTTTCACAATTGTAACTAGAAGCAAAAGACTGACCACATGACTCTAGACATCTTTCTGTAGAGTAGGTAACTATGTTAGGAGCCTCTTTTCTGTCCCATCAGAGTTTCATCCCAGTGGCTGAAGCTGGTGGCTGAAGTAGCTGGATACCAATAAGCTGAGCTCAAGGAATCCGAGGACAAGGGCAACTTCCTTACAGCAGAGTTAGCAGAAATGGGCACAGTTAATCCCCTTTCTGACATTTATATCAATGTCTTAAAATGCATCTCTTGTGACCTCAGTAGTCTTTATTTTTATTACTTTAGTTATTGATTGATTGATCAATTGCTTGTGTGTGTGTGTGTGTGTGTGTGTGTGTGTGTGTGTGTGTGTGTGTGTGTGTGTGTGTATGTGTATCATTGCTTTCATGTGGAGGCCAGAGGACAATTTGCAGAAATTGATTCTCTCCCACAATCCGGGTCCTCAGGACTCAATTCAGATCATCATGCTTGAGAGCAAGGGCCATTGTGTCTTTAGCAGATATCTGTCTCAGCTATCACAGCTTTCCCTATTTCTGCAAGAAAGAGACACCCACAAAGGCAGCTGGGTCAGAGAAATGCACTTAGTACTATGTAGCTTATTTAGAAATTAGTAATGGGGCATTTTGGCTTTTACAAGTTGGTAAAATGCTATCTTCCCTGGGAATTATGAAGTAACTGCTTAGTGAGTCTCAAACATTTTTGAGGGGCAAGAGTGGCCTCCTGGCTTTGTGATGGCATTTCTAGCTAGCAGTTTTCACTAAGAAGTCTGACAAAGATTACAGGGCTTTTTTCCTATCCTGGAAATTTTTTGTTTTGTTGTGTATTCAATTGCTCTCCCTAGAGAAAATTGAGCTTATGATAGGGAAGACAAGTGGGGAACCTCTCATAATCCTGGCTCCTGTTCTCAGGAGTTTGCCCTCCATACATGAAGCTTCTCCTGGAGTAGTCCTGGAGTGTATTTATTTGACCATATTGCCCAGGCTTACATGCCTCCATTAGTCAATAGCAAGCTTCTCTGCACTGGGTCTGCATGGCTCATCAAAATAAAACATTTTTAATTTAAAAATTAAAAAACTTGTCATCTATGTACATAATCTTTGGGAAATAGCATCTCTATTACTGGCTGATAACTTGCCAAGTGGCTTTTACTTTTGTTCTCTACTTCAGGATTACTGGTGGCATCCATGTGAGAGAACAGGTTTGCTTGGAAATACCACGGAAGCTGGCATTGCCCACTGTTTAAAAGAAGGCACAATTTAATTTTTGTTCATCATCTGATTCCATGAGTTTCTGAGCTTCTGAAGTCCTACTATGTTCCACAAATGATATGCTTGGCTCCCTGACTATCACCTCAACAACACCGCCTCTGTTGACACGGGTCAATGAGGGAATAAGACTAGACACTAGGCAAATGGAAAGTTATAATGCCACTAGATGAGAGATGCAGCAACATCTGACCTTGAGTACATAAAAAAAGACTTTCCACTATGCAAAGAAACATAAGTGAAGTTAGAGAAGTCTGGTGTTCAATCCCCTGTCAGGTGAAGCTTGTCTGGCCTCAGTGCCTCCCGCCACAAGCACTGTTACAAGCTATCAGAATGTTACTCTTGAGGTATTGTTTTGGTCCATATCGGCATACTTCAATTTTTACTTCGTTTTCAAAACAAAAGGAACATGAGGTTAGTGGACACATAATAATGCTATATCTATAGAAGGGAATGTAGATTGTTACTACATTGCTGAGAATAATGATGAAGAGAAGATAGGGAGTACTGAATGAGTACACACACACACACACACACACACACACACACACACACACATACACACACACATACACACACACATAACACATACACACACACACACATACACACACATACACACACAGATTCTATTTTTGTGGTTGCATCCCCAACATGTTAAATTTTAAAATACTCTGACCTCATTTAATAAACATTTTATCCTTAGAACAATTATTACTGCTTTTAAAATTCAGAAGACATTATTCACAATCTCATTGGCCCTCAGTCCATTGGCTCTGCCTGACATCTTTGGTTAAGCTGTGAAAAGCATTTGGCTACGGAGTGAGCTGCCCATGTGATGCCATTGCTCATGCTTTCAGCTTTCTCTGGCTCAGTCTAGGATGGTTGTCTTTCCAGCTGGCAGGACAGGGAGCAGTGGGTGCCAAGCCATGCTGGAGCATTTTAAAACAACATTGCATATAACATAATTAAGTAGGGATGCCTGAAGCCCTAATATCTTCACTGCCTAGAGTCAAGTCTACAGTTAACTAAAAGACTCATCTTTGCAGTTTTAGGGTAGAAAATAAAGTTTATGGCAAATATGAGACTCTGTTGTAATCATTCAGATTCCATAAAATGCTAAATATTCTCTAGAATGATTTGATTCAATTTTATAACTTTATTTATTATTGATTGTGAAAGAAATCTATAATCATAAAAGTGGGAAAATACAGCAGGGATTAAGCCTCCATAATCTAGTCAAGTAACCACAGCCACAACCTTGCTTTGCGGGGTCTTTCCTGTGTATCTCGAAGCATGTCCCCTGCACCAGTCTGAGGCTGGCCTCTGACGGCTTTCACTCTCATCTTCTTTCTTTGCTGATTGACCTCTGACATTTCTGCTAAGAGAATCCCTCATGGTGAGGCTGGAGAATCGGGCTCTATCTTGCTACCCTTCACTGCCACCCCTGTTTCTGGTGGCAGTTCGGTTCTGGATTTCCCAGAGATCTCCACCCTGGTCCTCCTGGGGCGCCTGTGTTTATTTTCAGCATTCTTCCCTCCAGTGCCGCTATGCTTTGAGGTTTGTTTGTTTGTTTGTTTGTTTGTTTGTTTTTGTCTTATTCTGTTTTTCTCTTGTTTGGCGTTTCCGTTTTTCTAGTTCTTTGAAAAACCAGTTCATACAAATTAAACTTTTGTGGTATGTCCCTGGACAAAGCCATCTATGTTGGTAGTTTTATTCAATTTGACCCAAACCTAGACATCTAGGAAGAGGGAATCTCAATTGAGGAACTGTTTCTATGAGCAGTTGGCCTATTGGTATTTGGGGTTATTTTCTTGATTGTTAATTGATGTATGAGGGGCAGGCCACTGTGAATGGTATCATACCTGGGCAGGTTCCTGGGGCATGTGAGAAAGCAGGCTGAGCAGGCCACCGAGAACAAGCCAGGAAGCAGCACCTCTCCATGGCCTCTGATTCAGTTCCTGCCTCCAGGTTCCTGCCTTACCTTCTTTCAATGATGGGTGATAACTCATAAGCTACAATAAACCTTTCCTGCCTCAAGTTGCTTTTATCATAGTCAGTGCTTTATCATAATAACAGAAAAGCACATGAGGACAGCATCCCTCTCGTGGTAGTCCATTGACACATGTATTTTCAGTCTATTATGTACGCTTTTACACACCCTAAAGTTGTAAATCTCTTTTATAAGATGTATCAAGTAGTAATTTTTATACAATGATATTTATCAGTTTTAATTGTACACATGAATTTTTTTTTACTTTGTGTGTTTAGGGGTCTGTTGGCTCATGTTGTGTGCATGTATGTGTGTGTGCATGTGTGAGCACGTGTATGTGCATGCATGTGTGCACGTGTGTGCATGTGTGTGCGTGAGTGCATGTGTGCATGCATCCACGTGTGTGTGTATGTGTGTGTGTATGTGTGTGTGTGTATGAGATAAGACATGGTGTATGAAGGTCAAAGGACAATTTTAAGAATTCAATTCTCTATTTTCATAATTCATGGACTGAGGACTGAACTCAAGTCATCAAACTTGATAGCAAGCACCTTAACCTACTGAATTATTTCATCAACCCTATTGATATATTTTATACAAAATTTTTAATATACATGCTTTGTAAATTTCTTAATTTCTTTACATCTGGAAGTTTTATTTTCTAAACATTGTTTCTAAAGTGATAAGTTAAAAATAGAATTTGATGCATATCATATGTGGAGTGTGTAGTATTCTACTTAGTGAATATTCAACCATATCTTATAAAAATTTCTCTTGACACTTTACTTCCATAGCAGTAGTGTTCTGCTCTCTCTCGTGGCTGCTAATCATACCTACTTACTTAGGAAAGTATGATAATTTTCCATATTATTATGCTTTTACTTGATATAAACTGGATTAGTAGTTAGGTAGAAGTTCTTACATTTTACTGTTTTCACTGGGGGGCATAAGAAGCAGACTCTAGACCACATGAACTTTTTTCAAGGGTAAAACATAGTTCACTTCTTTCCCTCTAACCCACCCATTTTAACTTGGCACCTTGGTGTTACTGTTAAGATCTGTATTGTGAATATTGTCACACAACCTTGCAGTCGTCCAAATCACCCAGTGCTTCCGTACAGTATCATTTCTGGATGCTCAGCTGCTCAGGTGCAGAGATTTCATCATGGTGCCAGAAAAGGTTCCAAAGCTGCTAGTCTGCAGGACCAGCAGAATCTCAGGGAGGATAAGAGCTACAGATAGAGCAGGTTTCAAAGCTTTCTTCAAATATGGAAATCTTATTGAGAAATAGTAGACAATTTGCAGAACACAGGAAGGATTCATTGATGAGGTCAGTTGTCGTGCCCTGCCGACCCCTGCAGCCTAAGCATTAGCTAATGTGGTAGCTGTATAATGTATTTGCAGGATATTCATAGCTAGTCACATAGTCCAATCCAGCAGAGGTGGAGACGCTGAGGGATCTGTTAAACATTTAAAAAGCAAGCCTCCAGTGGGGAGAGGGGCTTTGGTGTCAGTGCAGGGGAGACGTCCCCCACTCCTTCAGAGTCCACTTACCTCATTAGTGCTTCAGGTTAGGTACAACGGATGTCCAAGATCATAGCACTTCTGAAGGAAGTCTTGTCCCTGTGAGAAAAAGATCATGAGTATGAGAAGCAGAGACATTGTAGGGAATAAAGCAAACATCTAAAATGATCTTTGAGGGGTATTCTAAATTTGATAAGTAAAAATGCTAATCTAGAAAAGAAAAATGAAAATATTATAAAATGTATGCATTTAGATTATTGATTCCGCAGGGCCCAAGGGGGCTTTGCTACATCCGGTGGGGGAAATTAGGGGAAAAAAAAATCTATGTACACTGTTCTTAATGCCTGTTAACTTTATTTCTCTAAGACAAAATTCTATCAATTCAGCTATAGTTCCACCAGGCATTCAAGGCAAGAATAACTCTAGACATGACAAGCTCTTTATCCATCTACTTTATTTCTCTGGGATGAAATCCTGTCTCCATAACTGCAGTTCCATCCAGCTCCCTAGCTCATAGCCCAAGTGATGACTAACTCCTATGCTTCCAGCCTCATCTTCATCCTCTGTATCCTCTTTCTCCATCTCTGCTACTCTCTACTCCTGGCACTCAGAAAACTCTACTCAGAGATCTGCTTACTCTCTGGGAACCTCTGTCGTCCTCTCTTCTCTCCTGCCATGCTGTTCTGTCCCTGTCTACAGAAGATGCCTGCCTTTTCTTTCCCTGGGCAAGTGGTTCCCTGCCTCCTCCAGAATGTGGTTTTATTTCTTCCCTTGATATGTAAAAACCTCTTTTCTTTTTAGGCAATGTGCTCTGGAGAACCACTAGGCCTCCTCAAGGCGATGGAACGTTCTGAGCTTCATTAGCATAGGAAACAAAGCTATGCGTCTCCTAAACTCAGCAGGGCAGTTAGTAACTTAGTAGTTCAGCAGGTCTGGGGAGCTGAACTGTTTACCAATAAATATGTCTGGGCAGGCAAGGATTTCATAGCAGAAGACAGGTGGAATATTAAAGGCTGGGTAATACCAAATATTCATAATAACGACTTTGCCTTTTGATAGACCCTTTGCTGGTCAAAGTTCAGCTTTAATACACAGCTGAATCTCAATGATATATTCTTGTGGCCCGCAAGATTAGATGATAAACTGATTTTAGAAGTAATAAAAATTCCTAAAATTTAAAAAGAAGTAAATAGTGGAATACCAAGGTCAACAAAATAATACAAAAGCTTATAGGGGAGGAGATGGGAGATAAACGTAGAATAGAGATTTGGTGCTTCAAGGTTTTACTAAATGGATTATAGATAAACAGTAAAAATACGGAGAAGATTTCTTATAGAAATAGTTTACAAATGTGCAGAACATAAGTCTCAAAAGACAAGCTTGACACATGAGAGAAAACGGCCAATATTTAATATTATCATGAAATTTCAGTTACTCAGAGGTCTAGAAAGAGAACTTTCACTGAGCATGATGACATTCCCACTCAGTCAGGAGGATTGAGACCTAGCCAGGTTAGGTGTGTGGCAAGGTCTAGACCAGCACATAGGCAGTCAAACACTGCAACATTTCTAGGACAGAGACAAATAAACAAAAGAACTGAGTTTACACACAAAGTATTGGGGTTGAACAAGAATCAGTGAGAGAGTGTTCCTTTTCAGTGAGCTGTGGAGGGAGAGATAGAAAAGGCCAATTTCAGCCTGAAAAATCAAGACCTATAATTTCAGTACACACCTAAAGCCAGTCAGTAGAGGATACACTAGAAAAGAAACACTGTGAGAAAAGGAAGACTTGATTACAGAGAGGAAGGTCAACAAAGGGGCAACTAAAGGTGTAAGGGAAAGTTATGGAACCTCTGAAGCAGAACAAGACCAAAGCATAACCAGGGCAGACAGACTGAAGACGAAGGCATGGCTGAGGAGCCCTGCAAGGAAGACCTCAGGAGAGAGAAGCAAACATATGCAGGGGATTTTTATCGATGGTGTGTGTGTGTGTGTGTGTGTGTGTGTGTGTGTGTGTGTGTGTGTGTGTGTGTGTGTGTACAAGGGGTATGAAGCATTTATTTTGCTTTCTTTTTGGGAAATGAGGATTGAACTTACAGCCTTTCACATGCCAGAGAAGTATTCGACCATTGAGCTATATCTCTACACTTTTTAAATTTACCTTTAAAATCTTAGAAAGGGTCTCTAAATTGCCCAGGTGGGTCTGTAACTTGCAATCTTCCTGCTTCAAAAATTAGCTATACTTAGTATATTATATATATATATATGTATATATATATATATGTATGTATATAAAATGAGAAAACCTTAGCAGTCACCCCAAATTTTCTTATGTGAGGCAGAAATACAAGCTTACATATTTGAAGTTACTGAGTTAAACAAATAGAGTGTTTATGTAACAGGGACAAAAGTCCACCTGTAGACATAATGATGGAACAGGGCATATTAACCTTTTCACGAAGACATTTGGGACAGGCAGTTAATCCATGAAGACACCAGCTGGAAAAAGACATCACAGTCCTTACTGCTCCATTGAAGAACTGTATAAAATGATGTATGTGTGTCTACATTTGGAGGTTAAGGAGGGAAAGCAGGAGCGCTTATTAAAATTAAAATGGAAGCACCTTAGCCTTATTGATGTAAAGTAGCCATGACAGATTCTTAGTTGACAGAAATGTTTTATTTACTGTGTCTGTTGTATTCAGAGAAAACTTCTCAGCCAGCTGCTGTGCTGGAAGGGAATGCAGTAACTCTGCAACCCTGCAGAACTGTCTGCTTAGAACATTGTTTACAAGAGTAGGATTTAAGCCATGCATTGGCAGCCACAAGTGAGTAGGGACTTGCATTTGACCCAACAAAGGTCTTAACTGACAAGCGAACTCTATATTTTAAGGCCTTCCTAAGATCATATTGGCCTGAAAGTAAATTTCAAATCAAAAGAGATCAACCTGTTCAGATCTTTTTTTAATTTATTTTACTTAAAAATTCCCATAATATCATTAAAGATGAAGAAACAGAATTATATTGATTACTGGAAGATGTATGCTCATTGATACTATAAAGACCCAAGGAAAGCATTTCAATGGAGAAGGAAATCTGACTTTATCCCCTGAAGGAAAAACAAATTACATTGATGGAATCATAAAGGGAGACAAAAGAGGCTCTCCAGGAAGATGGAGCAGTAATCTGAAAATAGAACAATGTCAGAAACCCAAAAATGGTAAGTACAATGCAATGTAAAACAAAATAAAAGTTGACTGCCAGGACCTGAGTTTGCATCCTCAGCACCCATACTAAAAATAGAAAATAGCTAGTCACCACAGGGTGCTTCTCTAATACCTAAATTCTGGGGAGGAAGAGACAGGTAGATCCTTGTAGACAGACACAGCAGCTTAGCTGAGTCTGTGAGCTTCCAGTACAAAGAGAGATCATGTCTTAAAAAATGTAGATAATGACTGAGGAAGATTCACAATGTTGACTAGCATCTCTATGTGCTCACACACAAAGCTCTTATAGATACCTAACTTCCTTCCACACATAGTTAATTAAAAAGTTTGGTTAAACTATTGACTCTGATTTTTGCTTGTCTGTAGAATATACATATACACACATATACACACAAATTGTGTGAGTGTGTGTGTGTGTGTGTGTGTGTGTGTGTGTGAGAGAGAGAGAGAGAGAGAGAGAGAGAGAGAGAGAGAGAGAGAGAGAGAGAGAGACTCATCTAATTTAAATGGTGGATGTACAGACCACAGTAATTCAATAATGAAGAAATATAGAAGATACAGATTGGAACTCTCCAAGCAGAATCGGGGAATATTTTTGATTCCTTTCTCTTTTCAAGATTTTTGAAGGTAGAGAGGAGATTAGGACTATTTTTTTTCTGGTCTTGAAAACCTGGCTGAAGTTTTGACCAAAAGATTCTTACCATTTGCTCTTTTGCCGAGCTTGGGTCCTGTCTCGTTTTGAAGCACATGATGCCACTCACAAACCACAAAGTGAATGCAGAATTTGGCATTACTGAGAATTAAGAAGTGAAGGGCACAAGCAGATAGTTGTTCACAGGCAGATAAAATGTATAGTTTTAAACTGCATCACTGCCACATATGGCGTAACAATGAAGCAAGTTATCTTCAATGTCTGGACTTGTATGTTCTCATAAAAAAGGAAAGTTTACCTTTTAAATGTTTGTTACTATGATGGAACTGATTTTCAGAGACCACAGTTTCCAGGGACCACAGCTGTACAAGTCTCATTCTATGCCCTCTTTCACCTTTGGTGATAATTCAATAATAAAACTGTGACTGTAAAGCACTGTGGAGAATGCCAGGATCCATTCCCCATTTCATAAAAATCTAAGGAGAAATTTGAGTCTGAGTAGAGCATTTCTGTAGACTGATTATCTATTGTAATGCCTTTATACAAAGAATTAATAGCTTTTAGTTCAGCAGTTAAATGGCATCAATATCATCCTCCCTTCTCTTGTTCTTTCTCTTCTTCTCTACCCCATTTCTCTTTTCTCTGGTTTCTACTTCTATATTTCTTTCATTTCCCTCCTGACTTGCCAAGACTTATACAACTTAACAAATATTAATAAGGCAGTAGAAGTTGAATAGTAAAGAGGACAAAGGAAATATAATATTTAAAATGAACAAATTTAGAAAGGTAAAACTGTGTGACATTTTATTGGGCAGCATGTTGATCTGCTTGCCATGACTATAACAAATACCCGAGAAAACTCATCTTATAAAAACAAAGGTTTGACTTGACTCAGAGGTTGGAAGTCTCAGACCAAGATTCTCTGGTTTCTTGTTCCTAGCTTGTGACAAGGCAGCACACCATGGCAGAAGTGTGATGAGGACTAGTCACTCACTTCTTGGTCAAGATCAAAGAGGATAGGGAAGGACAGGGCTGCACAGTTCTCTTCAGGCAAGCTTCTAAGGGCCTTAAGAGCTCCCAACAGGCCATGCTTTTCTTTTTAGGGGCTGGGGGAGTTGGTTGAGACAGGGTTTCTCTCTGTATAGCCCTGGATGTCCTGGAATTCACTCTGTAGACCAGGCTGTCCTTGAACTCAAGAGATCTGTCTACTTGTGCCTCCCA